AATACCTCAAGCCTATTTCTGATATCTCTGTAGCTTTAAAGAGTTTAAGTGGTGACAATCTATAGACCACCATCAATACTGCAGGACCTTGCCAGTCCCTATCCTCACCTTGCCCCATCTTCTTTCAGGATTTCAAAGGTCTCCAAAGGCACCTCTAGAAAATCTTTCTGACAGATTGAACCTCATTTCTGCAGTGGAAGAAGCTCTGGGTTTCAAGTCAGGAGCACTGGGCTCTAGTCATATTTCACTGTGTGACCTTGGGTAAGTCACTGACAGGATCAGAGAATCACAGAATGTTAGAACTAGGAGGGATCTGAGAGGTCATCTGGCCTCATTTTACATCAACCTTATTTTACAGAGAAGGAAACTGAGACCCCAAAATGTCAAGCAGTTTGCCCAAGTTTACTTATCAAGTGAACTGGGACCATAGTTCAAGTAGCAAGATTCTCTGTTCAGTGCTTTCCCATTCCACTTCAATTCTTTTTAATCTCAGACCTCAGTTCTCCCAAAACAGGATTCTGACTGAAAGCCTTCTTTAAAAAAGGAGAGGGAAGGGGAGGTAGCTAGGTGGCATAGTGGGTAGAGTGCCAGGCTTGGAATCAGGAAGACTCATCTTCCTGAGTTCAAGTTTGGCCTCAGACACTTACTAGCTGTATGACCCTGATTGCCTCAAAAAAAAGTTTTCTTAAATCATCATTGTCGCTTTGACTGTATCACCTCTTCCTTCCCCCTTCCTCCAACCAACAAATAAGGCTATTTAGATTTTTTTTAAATCAAATGAATTAAAAAGCATTTCATTGGGATATATACATATATGTGTGTGTGTGTGTGTGTGTGTGTATATGTATCTATATATATATATATATATATATATAGAGAGAGAGAGAGAGAGAGAGAGAGAATTTCAATTGTGGAGAAATTTACAGCACCCTTTTAGATCACTGGGGTTCCCTTGGGGTGTTGCAAACCTGTGGTTAAGATTCATTGAAATTGTCCTTTTACTAACACTTGGCATCAAACCTAGCCTCTTTCCTCCACTTCCCACAGAGCTTTCTGGCTTTCTCTTACATTTCTTCCCAGCACAATGCCACAGTGACAGTGAACCAGCACATTTCCTGTTTTTCTCCCAAGTTTTATTTATGGACAAGGTAGTTACTTTGAAACCTGTTTATGGTGAAACTTCTTTGGCCAGTAACTCAGTGTAACTGCAGCCAGGATCCATCGATCAAAGCTAGTTCTCTCTTCTGGGAGTAAAAACTCCAAGACAAATAGTTGCTCTCCTTCTGCCTCTCTTCACCGCTCAATCTCCACATCAGAGAATCCAGACAGGGAGGCAGGTGCACTCTCAAAGAACGTGAGAGAGAGCATTAGCTGAGCAAAGAGAGGCAGAGGAATACTTCCAAGAACAAAAAGAGATGAATGATATTAAAGGAACACAGAAGAAGAAAAAAGCCTTGTTCCTTGGAAACAGGACTTTGATGAGCTCATGGGTATGTATTGGGTATTCCTGTAACTTCTCTTGGGGGAAATGTAAATAGGGATTATGACAATATAAGGAACATAAATCTGAGCCCTGATATTTAAAATCTGTATGCAAATACATTGATTCATTTAACAAGTATTGTTGAGTGTTTTGTACTCACCAGTTGCTAGATAAGGATGCAAAAGGGTGGAAGTAAACATCTTATTTATCTGGAGGTGTATCTGCCCACTAATCTCAAATGTATGTAATAGCCAAAATCAAAAAAGGAGGCTTATAAGTAGCCAAAACAGATGTCATGAAGTCCATGCACTTTAGTTCTCATTCATTTTATTCACAGAAGAGCCTCTCCTCTCTCATTCAGAGACTATTGATGCTTACTCTACACACAGTCTTAGCAAACATTATTATTCAGTGAGAAGATGAGCAGCTGAGAAATTAAAAGTGGGAATGGCAGACCGATATGGGTAGGCACACTCAGAGAGCAATAAGAAATGACAGCTTACATCTGGGGAAGGGGAGAGAGAGGGAAAGAAAGAGAAGAAAGGGGGAGAAGGGAGAGGGCAGAAAGGAAGGGAAAGGAGGGGAAGGGAGAGGAGACCATAAGGACCAGACCCAGTAACTCAAAATTGTATAGGTGTCCAAGGGCACTTAGTGTAGTAATTAACTGAAAACAGTTTCTCTTATAAACTCATCATTTTATATCCTTCTTTTGGCTTTTATAATTTCAACCTTGTATCAGAAAACATAGAAGGCAGTATGGGATAGTGAAAAGCACATTTATTTTAGAGTCAGGGAGCCTGGGTTTAATTCGAAGTCTACCACTTTCTGCCTGGGTGACCTTCGCATGACCTTATCATGACTAATTAACTTCCCTGGGGCCTCAATCTTCTCATTTGTAAAAAGAACACTGAATGCTGAAGATTCTTTGAAACTCTAAAATCTTATGATCCCATATCATCCTTTAAGTAGATTCTGAGCTACTTATTGTAGATACCAAGAGATCCAACAGTAAGGTAGAGCCAGCTCGAATAAGCTCACAAAAGCTGAGTGTTAAATTTTTAGTGTGAGCATCTACATCTTGGAAATTGGTGTTACAAATCAGGGCTTAACTTAGTGTTTTGTTGCTTGTATAGATTTAATAAAATGATGGAGAAAAATTGTTAATACCAATTAAACTTAAAAGTATGTCCTATGTACATTATTTTTAGAGAGCCTGTTGTTAAATACCAATTGATATAACTCACGTGAGCAAAA